GGGGGGGGGTGAGGGAGACTGCTGGAACAGGATGTAAAGGAGAGAGTGAACATGTAGGAGGAGAAGACAGAAGCTGATGAAATGATTTCAGTTTTTGGCTCCTGACAACCTCTCCCTGTGCACTCAGGAAATGAGCAGAAAACTGATAATTGCCTGCCTAATTATTGGTGTTACTTTTGAGGGAGGACTTGATATTCTTACTGCATTGATGTATTTTTAATAGACCAATTCAGCCAGGCTAAATTGATTAATTATTAATAAGACAACAGAAGAAAGAAAGGCACATAATTAAAGGACAAAGGCTTCTGGTGAACAAATGGATCAGACAGTGTGTTCTTTTTATGATGTCAAGTTAAATCACAGTTGGTCTTTCCTTTGTGTGTGTGACTCTAGACCCCAGGGAGGGCTCTCCATACTCCCCCAGCATGAAGAAGAGCCTGAGAGTCCGAGACAGCATCAGCTCCACTGAAGGAGAGGTTGGTTTCAAAACACACACACCTGCACATTTTCCTTTTTCAGTGGCAAACAGATTTCGAATTGATTTTACAATATCAACCAGTGTGTGTTTTAGAATCAGGTTTATTGCCAAGGTTTACACAAAGTATTTGATTTGGTGTATAATGGTGCAGAGAGGAATTAAGTTGTACACGTACACTACTTTAAAAACCATTATAACATTTAAAAAGAAATGTTGCAATGAATACAAATATACTCATAATTAGGTATAATACAATTATGGCATATTACTTAAAGTTACAAATGTGCAGTATTTTAAATGTTAAGTGAAATTAATAAATAATTACTACTCCTATTAGAGTATTCTTAAAGTGAATGTCTTTAATTTACCACAGGGTGTGTGTGTGTGTGTGTGTGTGTGTGTGTGTGTGTGTGTGTGTGTGTGTGTGTGTGTGTGTGTGTGTGTGTGTGTGTGTGTGTGTGTGTGTGTGTTCATTAGCATCTTCTCGTGTGTTTTCCCCCTGTCCATTCCGCTGTACTCCTCTAATAGATTAATTGCTACTTGTTGCTCTGCAGCGATAATTGAGACTGTGGTGCTGTCACAACTCCTCGTCTCTTCCAGTGCGATTATAACAGCCACTGTGTCCTTCTGGATGAAAGGCTAACTTAACTCAGCAAGAGCAGCGATGAGTTCAGATTGGATGAACATCTTCAGACCAGACTTGGCAGGCAGTGTGAGGCTGCCAGGGGAAACCAGGGCGATGAATTAGAAATGGTGAAAGTATGTCAAGTGACTTCTTTCAGATTAGTCTGCAGCTTCGGATGTTCGGAACACTTTTCATTTGATTGCACTTTTTTGTTCCTGTTTTTGTGACCTCTCTTTCAGTATTTTCATTCATTTTCAATTCCAACTTGTTCTCTCTCTCTCTCGCCTCATCTGCCCTCATATCACATTTCCCCTCCCTTCTCCTCCATTTGCTTAATCTTTATTTCTCTTTCTTCCCTTTACGTCTGTCTCCAGGTCTCAGAGGGGTGTGGCAGTCCCGTCCACAGTCGATCTGGTTCGATGCATAGTGTGGCTTCTTATGATGGAGGGGTCCTCAGAGCCCCTGGCAGTGCAGAGAGCTCCCCCAGACGAACACTGAACCATCCGTCCACTGCAGGTCAGTGCTCCTGAATCCTTACGTCATCCCATAATAAAAGATTGAATAGTCCCAAAAACATCTGTAATGTTCTCATTTGTGATCTCAATGAGGGATGTTTGTGATCGCAGGTTCTCAGTCTCCTGCCATGTCAAGCCCCTCGCACGGTGTGGATGAAAACAGACAAGCAACAGATCCTGGGTAAGAGGACACACAGCAGAATTGTTTAGGCCATTTTTTATCACATACCATTTAACTGATTCAATAGGAAACAGCTGATTCATTTTTTATTTTTTTTCACGATTATTTGGGGCCAACACTCCTTGTTTACCCCAATAAAGCATATATAGGGATGTAACGATATATCGAATATCGCGGTAAATAAATGTCTCAATACCGTTGTGAGACTGACAAAAACTAATCTTAATTTTTTTTTTTTTTTTAAAACATTTATTTAACCAGATGGTCCCATTGAGATCATCGATCTCTTTTTCAAGGGAGACCTGTCCAACATGGCAGTAATTAGGTTACAACATGAACATAAAACAACAGATAACGCAAAAGGACATCGTATTTACAGGGCTACATGTACATACCTAGAGACATTGACATGTACCAACAGTATATTTATATCTCGCCCTGTCAATAAGCCTCACCTTATTGGCAAAAACTGTATTGTTTTTGAAGTGGTGGAGAGGCAATGCACAGTTTTACCCACTGCTGTCACCCATGGCCAATCTCTCTGTCCCAGTAACATCAGCAAGAGAGTTTTTTCCACAGCAGGGGATATTGTAAACGCCCAAACATCCCAGCTTCTACCTGGAAATGTGGACATGCTCATATTCCTAAAAGATAACCTTGATGATGCTGAGTGAGTGAGTTAGTGAGTTAGAGTTGAGTTACTTGAAAAACTAAAGTGAAACTTGATTTATTCTATTGCAGGGTCTGATTATTATATTGTTGACACTTTAAAATACTACTATCCTACTAAAATGCTGTACAAATCAGATTTATTATTTAATAAAGANGTGTGCCTTGGCAGTCTCAGAATACTGTACAAATCAGATTTATTACTTAATAAAGAAAACAAATTCAAGTAAAAAAAAAAAGAAATAGATTATATAAAAAAATCACATTTTTTTTCGCGATAAATATCGTACCGTGGACTTTTTATCCCGATATTATCGTACCGTGAGTTTTGGGTATCGTTACATCCCTAATATATAAAGAACGTCATACTGTTGTGAAGCAATATCTTGATTGCGAAATTGATCAATTATTTAAAAGAAAAGGATATGAAGAGAAAGCTGGTGGGATAATAAAACTAAAAGATGTATGAAATAATTACAATCATTGTTAACCAAAATAATTAACTTTAATTACCTTTCTAGTTTTTAATTAAAGGGTTATAAGAAACTAAATTGACATCGTACTGGAAATATGTGTGACTGTTGAAAATGACATATTCTTTAAGAGTGAAGAAGGAATTAAGTTTTGATATGGTACTTAATACTACATTGCTAGTTTGCTAACTGTAAACTGTATATAATTTACTATTACGACAAAGGTCCCAGAGCATCACCTGAACAGGTCAATAATAACACCATCAGAGTTCTGCTGTTTTCTTTGTTATGGTCCTGGCATTAAAATACATATTGTGGGTCAATGACGAGCAGAACATCTGGATATGTTTTGTTCTATCTCACCTCAATGAGTCCAGCTCCAGAAACTCTTAATGAATGTGTGGTACAGTAATCATCCTGACTCGCTTTTATTTGATTTCCCTCCCTCTCTCCCTCTCAGCTCCACAGAGCCGTCAGCAGAGGACAGTCCAGAAAAACTCACGGCTAAGGTACATGAGGTTTGGTTATTTCACATTTGGCAAATAATGATTCACTTCACAGATACTGTCCTTTAATATAACTATATATATTATTTACATACAATAAGTTTGAAGTTTTTATGCTATGACATTTAGCTTTGATGTGTTGTGTTATTTCTGTTGGACAGAACTACCTTACATGGCCCCACTTCTTCTCCTATTCATATTACTTGGTATTGTATTATTTTGTGTTTTCCTTAATTGTACCTCAATCCACTGAAGGGGAAATGAGTTGGTACAGGTAAACAGGGTTAAATTAGATAATAAAGGGAATTAATGCTATGCAAAAATACTTGATTTCATTGTTAATAGCAAGATAATCCCACATAATCCTAAATATTTCTAATAATCAATGACTTTCGCTACATAACAATCTTCTGAATGGTCTATTTTGAAGTATTAAAATCAGTTTCCTAGTGTTGCCCTTATAAATAATTTGTTTCATAACTCATCTTCAATCAGCTACATGTCCTACTGATGCAATAAGATTAAAGTCATTAACATGGACATCCGTTGCCGTGTAGGAAGTTGCATGAAAACACTTTCTAATCCTGTGTAATATCACATGTGGTTACCCAAGGATTAAAACAGGGATTATTTTTGATACTGCACTAACCAAATCCATTTCTCTCTCCAAGGACATGCTCTGAGCTTGATATGGATAAATCAATGCAGAATGTTTTCGCATTAGTAGTTATGTGGAGCTTTTAAGTGAGGATTCAGCCCGGGAGCTAAAAGTCTGAACCTGGAGGATTAGTTTCGCTTTCACCAGACAGTACTGATATTCAGAGAACTCCATAAAGCTACAGTTTTAGTTGAATGTAAGAAGCTTTAGACTTTAGACTCAAAATCTGATCTCAATATAATGTTGCACAAAGAAAAACCGTTACATTCCAGGAGAGAAAAAGCCCTTTCTCTGTAAAACAGACGTATGTATTCACTTTTTCTCCTCCCAATTGTCCATATTTCTCAGTAGTAGCAGCAGCAGCTTGTCGCTGCGTGTTTTAGCACAATCATGATACTGTCCTGTAATTCAACAAATGTCCACACTCAGAAGGACGCAGGACAAAACACTATCACATTCACAGTTGATGGAATATCTTAAAATGAGATGTGTGCATAACATCTCAGGGTCTTTCAAACAGCTTAGATGCATTAGTCTAATGTACTTCCATTGTCTTTATAATTTATGGAATGTCAAATATTAGGAAGAAACACATCAATCATTCTGCTCAGAGGAAATGTCTTCTTGCTCCTGATTCACTCCCTCCTCTTCCACTCTTTAAGAAATAGAAATAGAGAAACACTCCTTCTAATTAAGTATATTCAGCCTCAGTGCCATTTGGCTCACGAGTCTTATGAGTGTGTTGTTGATTCCTCAGGGCCCCGCTCTGAATGATGATCTGAGCGCCAGCAGCAGCAGCAGCTCGGTGGAGATCAGCGGCCTGCTGAGTGAAGCCAAGATGTCGGGACGCTCACACACACTGATGCTCTCCTCAGATGAGGTACACATACTCAAATATTTTCTTTTTTATTGAAGGTCGTTGAAGGTGATGCAATGCAATATCAAACATGTTTAAACAAATAATTTACCTGAGCTTGATTCAACCACATCAAAGTTGATTGCTGTAGTTCAAGCCATACTTTTACACCAATGTTTAAAACCCGACATCTCTGTTGTTTTTAATGCTGCCACATTCAGAGTCTGGATATGATAGATGATGAGGTGAGACCTGTGCTTTACTGCATGCTTGTGTTCATGTGTCTGTTCAGTGTATGTCATTTGTCTGTTTTTCATACCCACACATCATTCATGGTGTTTCTCAACGAGTAATATATGCTGCTAAAGAAAATAGTTGCTTGTTGGGGTGTTCATGTGTCCTTTCTTCTGAACTCATTATAAATTACCTCTGTGAAAAAGAGACACTGTTCATAGTTAAATCCTGCATGTTAGAGATGTAAATTAACCTGCTTTTTCCTCTCTGCTCCTGTCTGTCTCTCCTGCTGTTCAGATCCTGGACGAGGCACAGTTTTCGAAGCAGTATCAGTGGCAGAACAGCAGCATCACAGAGTGGACCCCCCAGCAAGTGGCCCGCTGGCTCATGGGCCTCAACTTGGAACAACACATCCCAGAATTCACTGCCAAAAACATTGATGGAGAGCAGCTGCTGCAGCTGGAGAGTCCTGAGCTTAAGGTACGTTAAAGGTGGTTATACAAACATAGTACAGCAAATGTGAACAGGAAATAGCAGTGTAGCTATTCCAAAAATATGTTCGGTGAGTTCAGAAACATAGTTTGTCCTAAAGAGACATGTGACATGTTATTCAACTATAAAATTATATTAAAAAACAAAATGCACGCAATGGTCAACTTAAATGCCTTCAAAGTATTAAGGAAAATGCAGTTTTCAGCGTTTGTAAATAAGTAATTAGCGCTTTAAATGATGACGCTTCAGCCCTAGATTTTCCTCAGGGTTTAGTAGTATGTTTTTCTCTTCCTAGTAGTTTATCTTTGGCGATGTTGTACAATTAAAACAAATATAAGTACATACTTATGCATACATGCGTATATACTTATGCATGTTTATTTGTTTCAGGTCCTTGGAGTTACTTCTTCCCAGGACCGTGCCCTGATCAAGAAAAAGATCAAAGACCTTAAACTTCTGATGGAGAAGGCCAAGAGGAACAGAGAGAAAGTGGAGAAACAAAGCGAGAAGCTACGGAAGAGGGAGCTGGAGGAGCAGCAGAAAGAGGAGCGCAAAGAAAGTGCGGCAGAGTGAAGTGAATTGTTGGATCACCTGCCGCGTTACTGTAGCAACACACCACGTAGCATCTCGAGGAACAGAACGTCAGTAGACCCCACAAATGAACCCTGAGGGACACCTGCTCAGTAGTTCAATCGTTCTCAGTGGTTAAGCTACAAACCCAACTGTCGGAGATTGTTAATAAGTGACTTTTTCACCAAGAGTATCAAACCAAAATGAGCAGTTGGATAAAAAAAGGTCCTGCCCCGTTAATTTGCCTCATTTTACACCCATCCTGTGTTTTTAGCCATTTAAGATTTTACTCGGTTCTATTTATTTGCTTTTAATTGCTGTAAATTAGGTTTATTTATTCATATGCAGAGTAAGTCTGTGGAGTTAATCTCATTCTATATCATCTTCAGAGCCGTCTACATTACCCATCACAGCACCCGTAGATATTACGTCCATGTACAGTGATAAATACAGATATGTCTCATGTGCCATTTTGATAGATTTATGTATATCCTGTTCAGAATCGGTGAAATCGCTCTTTTGATTCGCCGAAGCACATACAGGTCGGGCCTGTGTGGTGGAATACATGAGGCAGTATTTATCTCCCACCACTGGGTGTCCCCACGCTGCTTACTTTCACTACTGAAGGAGGCAACACTGGAACTTTCCTACAGGAGCTGAAGCAACTTTCATTTAGAGAAATAACTCTCCTGATAATTGCAAGAACACTGGAAGTGCAAACACTGTAAATGTAACCTCTGCACTGGCTTGTCCTATGCTGCTTACAGTATACATGTACCATAGAAAGCGGTTCACACGGTATGATTGATGAAGAGGACATGTTGAACTGGTTCTAATGGATACTTCAGGTACAATGTAATGATAAAATGTGTAAAAAACTAAAACTAAAAAAATGTTAAATGGAACTTCCTGCTTATATGCATAATGTGGCTTTGACACCGCTTGTAACCTGCTTTTGACCTCTTTTTATATTCTCTCTCAATAACAAAGTTATTCCCCGCCGCTGCCTTTAGAAATTCTAGAGAAGTTGAATTTTTCTGAACACTACCCGCTTCTGTGTGAGTATAGAAACACATACAGTTAACATTTCTAACATTTTTTTTCATGAAGATGTACAGTTCACCATGCAAAACACTTTGGAATATTCTGAATATTATTAGGGAATGCTGCCATATAGACGAGTCATCTCTGTGATGCAGGACAGATGCAGGATGCACCTGATACTACTGATATTACACTGGAATTTGCAACTGATAGATGCAATATACTTTTAACTTACCTGTAAAACTGGTTCAATAAGACTTTTGACTTACTTGTTAGATAAAAAAAAGATAAACCTTTTTGAAATTATTTCGTATTTTATGCAGTTATTGTTTTAGGATTACGAGACATGCTCCCTGTGTTACTTCTTGAGCATTCCCGAGAATCATTCCGTAGATTTACAGTGAATACAGAGACATCAGAGTCACCGTGATCTTATCAAAGGCAGCTTTGGTTATGATTCCCTCTTTGTCTCAAGGAGCCTGCCTGGTGTACTGTAAATCAGTTAAAACAAGAAGAAGAATCTGGGTTACAGATGCAATGCCACAGTAAAACAGGAATCACTGATCTATTCATGTTATTATTTATTTATTTCTGTATCTAATGAAGCAACTGACTACTGTTTATGATAGCTTATATGAAAATAAGAGTACTATTAACACCTACAAATAATTTATCCAGAATTGTATGATTACTTCCTATTGCCAAAATATAAGTAAACCTGCTCATTAAAAAGTGATTTTAGATTAAAATGGTTGTTATGAAATGAAGGATTATAAATTGGAAAGTGCAAAGCGAGAAGAAAACGCAGTAGTGCTCCCTCATTGTGCTTGTGGTTTTCCTTTAATACAACCATAGTGCTGCTCCAGTACAACTCCAATAAACTGTTCATGTTGTATTCTTATGGAATATTTTGTAACACCTGAACCTTTTCTGTGAATACCCCCCAAAACCTCCCCTGTCAGGTCAGTCCGCTGGCTGCACTATTTTGATTCTTTTGTATGTATAGTGAAACACTGAGAGCAATACGCTGTAAGAATCCTAAAGCCTTGTTTTCTATCGTGTCAGTTTTTTGTCTGAGGGCTGAGGAGGCTTAGGGGTCACACCTGAGGCCATAAAGTGACTCCAGATCTTTTCTATTTGCTTGCCTGAGCTTGCCTACGCATGATGAAACCAACGTGTGGATGAGACCCTGGTGCTCCTGGCAGGCGTTTGAGTCATGTCCTGAAGGGTTTTTCTTTCATGTACGTAGAGAGCAAAAGATCATCACTACAAACTGCTAGCCATTGCTTTGATTCTTTTAAAAAGCTGTGCTTGTTCTCCTCCTCTTTCTCCTCCTTTTTTGTCATTACCTTGCTCTCTTTTCCGCATTCTGAAAAGTTTGAAAGGGCAGCTAGCTGTCACACTGAATAAAATGTGCGGTCACTGTCTGCTTTTGTTTCTTTTTTTCCCACCATTTGTCTGACTTCAACATAGTTTGAGAGGTCATTTGTTAGCTTTACAGAAATGTTTGTCCAAGGTGATACAATGCACAATATAACTGTTGATGAGGATTCAGTTGTCATTCTCATTCATTTAGAATATCTTATGATAAACCTGATAGTCCTATTTAGATAGAAAATAAGAACATACCAAGACCTTTGCCATAAACATGCTGTGTTTACGAGGCCTGTTATTTTGACCATGTGACCATTCACTCCCTTTCTCTCAGTGGTCTGGCTGTACTGAGGTCAGCCACAAGCCTCCAGTCCCACCCTCTCTCCTTTCTATTTATATTCAGCCTGATTTTACTCCAGGGCTATTTTTCTCTCACTGACAACTCCCCCCCCCCCCTGTCAATTCTTACCCCTCTTCTTACAACTCCATTTCTGTTGGGGGGGCTTATGGAGGCTTTTCACTGTGGGTATGATTGGTACCTTCCTTATCACCATTTGTGTGTTGATTTCCAATCTCCTGCATGCTGTGTGGAGAACGTTAGTGTGTGAGTGGGTGGGTTTAGTTGCGCGTCACGAGCAGCGAGGCCCCTCTTTCAAGGAGCTCATGGAGGAGTTCAATCCAAGACAACTGGCTGTCAAACAGCTGAAGCGGCAGTTCCTTGACGCTCTGCAGGCCAACGATTCCCTGGAGGTCATGAAGATTCTTCACACTGGGGAACTAGAGATTGACACCGTTCTTGAGGTGGATGACCCAAGCATGCTGCTGGCCTCATACAAGCAAGGTACGCACAAAACAAAGATTGATACATTTCACCTTCAGCAAAACAATGCATGGGGATAAACATCGTGTTTGCTATAGCCTACCAAATGAAGTATAAGGTCATGAATTGGACGAGTTTACAGAATTATGATTATGAACGTTTACGTGGTTTCATAAAGCATTAGAAAAGGAAAATAGATTGTAAACACTGAATATTATAGTTAGGGGAGTTGTTTTGTAGTTAACCACTAGGTGTTGCTAAACCCCCATGGACCCTAAAGCTGGATATGACAAGAAACAATGTCGGTGAATTATGATATGCGGGATACTGGGAATAACCATACGGACATATAACAACAAAGCCGTATGAAATATAACTCTACAGTCAGTCACAACATGTATAGGCACTGTTGTTCTATATTTAGCCCTTTCAAAAAAGAAAGTATTCCGACCTTAAACATTGATGGCTAACTGTACAACAATTAAAAAGCACATAGGAAACATCCCAAAAAGAAATAGCCTATGTTGTGTGAAATAATGAATTCAAAAACATGTTAAGGAACACAGTTTATCTTTGCAGCACGTTTTTATTTTGTATGGGTCACTCACTGAGGGCACAATGTTTATGCTTTAAACAGGAAGTAACTGGTAATAGGAGATAAGATGATCTGTTATTCAGCTCAATAAATGTATAATAAAACAATAGTTTTATGTGGAAGTAACTTAACCCTCAGATGCACAGTGAACACTACACTCTTCCATAAGTGGGTCAAAAAGGACCCATATTAGAATAATATGTGTTTGTATGACATTTTTGTCATTTTGGTTAAGAAAAATCACTTGTATAATATTTAGTATTATATTTTGGTTCACACTAGAAATATTTTATATTTAATTTTTCACTATTTATAATTTTAGACATTTTCTTTACATTTTGAAAAAAAACGTTTTGAACATAATTGTCCCAAAGATCTCCGTTATTCTGAGACCCTCACAGTATTCCAGTCCCTTTTCAAAACTCATCTCTTCTCCTCTTGTCTACTCATCATAGCCCACCCACAATAGATTAACATTAACATGCTTATTATAGTTGTAAGTGCACTGCCTTGCGGCCTGTAGCACCATCCTTGATGGAGCATATGTGTGGGCGGAGTGAGCAGAGAGTAGAGTAAGGAGTGAGCAGAGAGTAGAGTAGTTGTCGATTCTTGTTCTGTTTTCTGTGAATATCTGCCTCACCCTCTCAGACTTTGAGTTGCGCGCGCTACTAAAGAGACGTGTTACCATGGAAACCAAACAATGGTGTAGCTGTATTAAAGTCCGAGTGGAAACAGTCCTGAGTAAATCTGATTTTGTCAGAAATCGGGAGAAATGCGGGAGAAATATGACCCCCGGAGGAAACCGGGAGAGGGCAATGGAATCGGGAGTCTCCCGCGAAAATCGGGAGGGTTGACAAGTATGCCCCCACCCTACCTGCCCTTATATTGTAAAGCGATTTTGAGTCCTTGAAAAGCCCTATAAAAATATAATGTATTATTATTATTATTATTATTATCATTCTTATTATTATTATACTTACAGGTATCAGATCTTGCTGTGTAAAATAATCTTCCTGAGAGGTGTCACTTGTGATGAGTCTGTGTGGTCTACAATGAATGTATTCCTGACAGCCACAGGTGATAAGAATCAAAGGTTCCCATAGGATTCCATAGAAAATGCATGCGGGTCATTTTTGACCCACTTATGGAAGCTTGGGGTAATAATACAAAAACTACAATTTCTTAAAATGTATACAATTTAAATTTAAAATTTGAATGGCATGATATCCAAAACATGTTTTTGGAGGAATAGCTGGAATATGAAATGATAAAAAAATGTAATTACAAAGATGCTTCAAGAAAACCACCTCACCGGGTCAAAAAAGACCCACTTATGCATCTAAGGGTTAAGTAAATTGTTAATACAAAACCAAATATCAGATTATAAAATATGATGGGTATTATCAGTTAAACAACCAAAAGGTAGGGTATATAGAGCTATTCAAATAAACTGACTAAAACATTACAAGAATTGCTCTCAACCCTAACACTTCACTAAATTTAACAAAAAGTATAATGCTTTTATTGAACCCTCTCACAAACTGGTATAGGTTTTAGAAAAGTAAGTGTACAGGACCTTAAATTCTTATTGTTTGACATTTTGCTACAGGTTACTGGCTGCCAGGCTACACACTGGATAAGTCCTGGGCGACTGGTATTCATGTGTGTGTGATGTACAATGCGGTGGAAACAGCTCTGGTGCTCATTCAGGAGGGTGCGGCTATCAACCGGAAGCCCAACGGGAAGACGCCGCTGCACGTGGCCTGCGAGGCCTCCAACGCTGACTGTGTCGCCCTGCTATTGGCTCACAGTGCCAAAGTCAACGGCCTGTCTCTGAGCGGACACACACCGCTCCACTACTGCATCACAAGCCAGTCTGTGGCCTGTGCCAAGCTGCTCCTCTGCGAAGGTCAGAGTAACGGATGCATGGATAGATGGAGATAAAAGTGCAAGTACATCTATAAACACAAAAATAACCTTTGTTTTTTTCCCCATATAGGTGCAAAAGTCAACATGCCCAGCGACAACAATGAGGCGGACACACCTTTACACGCAGCAGCCAGATTTGGCGTCCCAGAGCTGGTGGCTCTCTACCTGGCCAATGGAGCAGATGTGAATTCAGTCAACTCCCTGCAGGAGACTCCCCTGATGACTGCGTGCTTCTGGGCTTTTAACGCTAAAGAGCAATTTTACAGTGAAGATCATCATCTTGTCTGTCGCCTTTTGCTGGACAACCAGGCAGGTATGTTTCTTCTTTCTTATTTACTATAAAGGCTTTGAGATTACTACAACAGTTCCCTTCTGTTCAAGACCCAAACCTCAGAGAAGAGGACAATAAGACAGCCCTTCACAAGGCCGCCTGGAACTGTGATCACGTCCTGATGCAGATGCTTCTGGAGGCCGGAGCAAACACACGGGCCGTGGACATCAACGGCTGTGCCCCCATCCAGTATCTCCTCAAAGTGACAGACGTCAGGCCCATGGCCATACCTGAGCTCTGCTACCAGGCGCTGCTCAACCATAACGCAGCGCGGATTTACCCCCCACAGTTCCACAAGGTACAGGAGGTTTACTGATATTAGAAGAGAATATAAAATACAGTTTATTTGACCAATGATATGTTGATGACAAGAGGTCCTTGCATGATAATTGTGCTGTATGATCAAATAATGTACGTTTTTGGAGGTGTTGCAGGCCTGCTATGACTGCACCAAAGCCGTCGAAGTTATGGTCAACTCTTATGAGCGCTTAAAGCCCACAAAGAAGTGGAGTGCTGCTATACCTGATGACTGCTACAAGGTAGAAACATATCTTCAGTACATCAATATTAATGGCATGTGTAGTGTTTCTTATTTTGTGCCTCTCCAGGGACATTTTTGGCTTTTTGACATGTTCAATCCCACAGCCATCAAATTGTAAATTTATGCTTTCGATTATATCAGGATTTCAATCTATAGAGCCCTGTCTTCAAAATTTTAGTTTTGGCTATTTTCCACTATATTAAGCCATTTTATATTTTATTTGTATCTGCCTTAATGGAAATGCTTTTTTGCTGTATTACTGTTCAAAAAAGTAGAAATGCATAAAAAAATATATATATTTAAATCATCACTGACATATCCAAGACAAAAAGGTCCCTTGCTTAACAGAACAAATATTTTTGTGTTTTTCTACCATAAAAAACAACCTTCCTATTGGGACGGATACAATATCTGAAGTTTTCTTTGCCTCCTCAGCGTCACAAAGACTTCTACGACTCTTTGTTCGCTGTTTGCAGCAACACTCCCCGCAGCCTGCTGCATCTGTCCAGATGTGCCATCAGAGCCAGCCTGTGGGAGGTCTGCCAGCGAGGTGTAGCACAGCTGCCTCTGCCCCCTCCCATGAAGAGATATTTACTGCTGGAACCTGAGGGGATACTGTACTGATGAAGAGAATATTGTTTCCAAAAAAATACCTGCTGTGTCTGAGGAAAGTCAGCCACCTGATAATTTGATTAAAACATCACTTCCTGTCTGCAGAGTTTGGAGAGTGAAAATGCTGCTAGTTGGAGCTGCCACTAACAAGAGTGTCCTTTTTATTTTTACACAACATTCCCTTTTGTCTGGAACATAAGACATCCCTCTTTGGTGTTGGACAGTACTGAAAAGTTGGTTTGCGTGAGTGGAAATGTAATCACATGACTTACTATAAAACTAATTGATATGGTGGTTTGATGCAGGACATGACAGAGAACGCCATACAACTAATTAAAAACGATGAGTAACGTAGCAGGATTGATGGACAAGTGAGACAAATCGCATTTTACTGATGATTATTGCTGTGCTAATTACAATAATAATTTATAGTAACTAATAAGTGAACATTATGGTCTGCTGTGTCACATCATCCCCTGCACACAACGTCTGTTTCTGTAAACACTGTTTTATGTAAGTATAAAAATACAATGTGTTTGACTTGCCTCTCTATGACAGTGATGCCTCATCTCAATCTACCCGGCAACCATCCTTAATGCTCACTCATGCTCTCATGATACTCCATTATGCAGAACAAACACTTGACAAAGCCCTCCACAACAAGTGCTTGTTTTTCCAGTGGACTGCACCTGAAGCCATGTGTGGACCCAGCCAGAAAAAGAAATGGTAATAGTAAAATCAGTTGCACCTTAAAGGTGACCTATCATGCAAAATGCACTTTTGTACGTCTTTTATACATGAATATGTGTCCCCGGTGTTCCAGGGAACTCACCAAGTGTCAGAAAACACAACCCTCTCTCTTTTCCTCCATACCCAAATCTCTTAAAAAGGGGCTGCAACGGATCTGATACAGACTGATCCAGATTTGAACACTTCTCTGACGTCACAGAAGTGGCACTACGGCTATTGGGCCAACTCCACCAATCAGGAGGAGACAGCCACGGACATTGCCGTTTGAAAGCGCTGGAGACGCTGTAGTACATATGCCAGGCCTGTAGATGGTGCTGTTCCCACATAATCAGCCCATGCAAAGACAGTGTTAAATTGAGCGAAATGAGGAATGGCTAAAATGCATGATCTGTTTGGTATTTAGACAAATAAAAAGTATAAATATGCCTTATATAGGTATGGTCCTACACTATATTATTCAAATATAGCATGATAGGTCCACTTTAACTCAACTGCTTTCCATCCTGGCTTCTTCTATCACTTTCATCAGTAACTAGCACAAGGGCCCACTGTTATAGTGTGAGGATCCCAGTCGATGTTATCCTGGTATTAAGACTCATTTACCATGGGGAGATAAAGCCAGCTTACAATAGGATGAAAGCCCTCAACAGACTGAGGCTGCTGCCTGGAGAGGAAGAGGCGCTGCTGAGATATTGTGTTTTTGTTAAAGAGGAGAAAATTATCCGGCAGCCTCGAGAAAAACATTAAGATGAAGGCAGAATAAAAATGAGAGAAAGAAAATTCAGCTCTTTTTTTTATCTCCAACTATGCAGTACAAACAGAAAACCAACATGATTCACTAAAAACACATAGTATTTATTTTCCTGCAAACATGTCAAAAACGAGTGTCTTTGAGAGTGTTTTACATCAAATGTCCCCAGTTAAAAATGCTTTAATCAAGTCCAGAGGTCAGGGTCATATCTTCTCATGCAAAATAATGGAATGCCACTTACATCAGGGAGTTCACTGACTGACAGTGCGTGTGCCTGTGGTGTGCTGTAATCTTTGAGAAACGTATTGCAGTCCATAAGTCATAGACATAAACAGGTGTGGCTGAGCACTTTGGTCAACTGAAGGTTGTTTTAAATGTGCTATATAAATAAATAAAGATTGAGATTGAGATTGATGGTCTGCGTATGTTGCAGAAAAATTGTCCGGATGACTGAAGAGTCAGGCCTGAATCCTAAAATAGAGCAGTAAAATGTTGGCAGAGAGAGATACTTAAATCAAGCGTTACAATAATGGGAAGAGAAGGGTTTGACAATGAACTGAACTTGGCTGCTCCTCACATTGCACTGATCCTTTTTCCCCCCTCCTCCTATCTTTAGAAATAAGCTTGCAAGTAATGCCTGAATAAACTGGAAAACAGAGACAGGAAACTATAACACAGGGAAGCGTAACATGTGGGCACACTAATGAAGGGGCAAACAGAGCAGGACAGCGTGTCCACAGAGCTCCTGTTGGCAGCCGGCCACGGGAAGCCACTGGACTGTGTCGGACGATGACAGACAAACAGAGCAAAGTTTACTAAAACAAGCTGTGGGGACAGGAGGGAGACGGGGGTATTACAGAGAGCACAGGCACATGGGGCTCCTTCACACACTATAAAAAGCTTTATACCTCATACAAATCTTACTTGTGTGAATATAAGCGCAGGGTATTTAATGTACCATGAGCTACAAAAGACACAAGGAATTATGTATTGAGAATTTTATTTTTCTACATTCACTGATCCTTTTAGTAACTAACCACAACTTCAGCACAGTAACACGTGGCCTTTGAGAGTGATGGTCGTACATGTTGAAATGTCAGTTGGTGCAGACGGTTAAAAAGAAATCATACAAATCTAAAATAAGGGATTTTTAATCAACAAGGCATTTCTAAACACTACAAACCTGGCAAAGACTGAACTGAGAAGTACAGTTTACGAAAAGTGTTGCTGGCATTTCATGAGGACATGGAATATGTCAAATGATTAGAAACATAAGGAAACATCTATTATATTAACACAGCGTACATATAGCTTGACCTCTGGTGTTCTTACTGTAATGCATGCTACACTTTGCAATCATTTACACAGGTCTTAACACCCTTTAAGTCACTAAAACATACAACACATGCACCAAAACACTTATTGATATTATCCAAGGACCAGAGATATACTGTTTAGTTTTACTATTAGAAAAACACTAAAAATATTATTGGAAAAGCGTTTACAAGTGTGTATAATGCAATTGACTACACACCAGTTTGAACAGAAGGGGAGTTATTATTATGTAGGTTATGTTAACCTGGCAGTTTTAAAGTTAAAATATAATTATTCAGTTACATTCAACATATTACCTACATACTTTGCAATACTGTGTTCCAACTCTCCAAAAAGGCACTTTCTCCTTTCGCTCAACCTCCATCAAGTATGTTTACATCTCATATCGAAGCAGCTAAAAGATTTTACAATTTATTTTACATTAATATAATTTTACAGCATGCATAACCAGGGCAAATTATTGTAATAGTGTCTCTAAATGCTGTGGTTGGATGAAAAACTGACCTGCAATGAAATGCAGAAGTTGTCCGTGTGAAGCAATGCTGCAGGTTATGAAGGACTAACATGCCGACATAACCAAAAGTGCTGGAAAAGACTTTGATCTCTTTGTGTTCGTGCTGCAGTCCAAGTGACCTCGTTGCTGCTGGCTTTGGTTGGGTTTCTCTAGGCATAGGTACACATTTACTTAACTCAAAAACACAACTTAACCCAGTAATTGAAATAAATCAAAAAACATTAGCCTAGCTTTAGATTGGGAAATGATACATTTTGAACGATAATAACTGGCATAAACACAAACACCATGCTGGCTTCATAGTGTAACCATGTTATTATAACTGAGGGTAATGAGGAAGGCTGAGGGAGATTAATACTTTTCAATTCCCATTCGCTGGACGTAATCGTTGCAATAAATGTAATTAAATTGCCCGCAGGCTGGTAGTAATAGTTCAGCTCAGTTATTTATTTACAATCTAATTATTGGCACAAATGATGAGCATCTTTCTCCAACTAGAATTCTCTCTGTGAGAAAAGGAATCCAGTTTCCACACACAGACGTCCAGGTCCAGCAGCATTTGTTTTCTCCCACTTACACTACAAGTTCATCCATCTCTTCAAACATGGACCCTTTTCATCACAATTATATTATTCATACTATTTTAGACTATCCTCTTGGAATTGCCCAGCTGCTTTGGATCCTTGCTGGGCATGCACCAGTCGTCAGCCTCTATGCTCGTCTGGTAATGCCTTAAGGCTGACTTGTTGAAAACAGGGAGTCTCTCCACTGACTCTGAGGACAGGGCCTGTAACAAAGAGCAGAAGGGAACGTATTAGTCTTCATCCTGAGAGTGAGATCCAGGTCATCTCTTATGGGTAAATTCCCTCTGCACACTGCTTAAGTAAAGACAGAAGGGGTCTCTAACATGTGGTGGGTTACAGCATGACAGACATTAGCTTTGCATTATTTGTACGACGTAGGTATGTTACACCACTCAGTCAATACAGAATGTGTGCTTGACAGAATATGTGAACTCTAACCCAACTTGGCTTTCAGTGTTCTTTTTGACTGTGTGTAGAGGTGGTGCAGCTCTCACCTTCAGGTATATAACAGCTGAGGTGCCGTAGCCCTCCATAGAGTAGAGCTGCAGGTCTCCCTGGAAGTACTTGGCATACAGGCGGGAGATGGGCAGGCCGTAGCCAAAACCAGCCTGAAGGGAACATAACAAAGTTACACTTTAAAGGTCCCCTATTGTACTATTTTTCATCAATATATTATAGTTCTCAGTTATTTAAAAAACATGTCTCTGAAGTGTTTGGCTCCAAACACCAAACAGATCATTGCAGCATCCCGTAATCCTCTCTGTTTCAGCCCTGTTTCAAAAGTTCTGATTCTCTGTCTGTTACTTTAGATGAAAATAAGGAGCCACTCCCCACGCCCCTCTGAGTGATATTTGGTTAAAAAGAACACAATAGGCGCTTTCACACTGCAGTACTTTTCCCACAAAGGTTCATGAGAACTTAGTTCATCAGAACTCTTTAGTTCTGATGAACTGGAATAAGTCCCTGGGGGTGGATTAGGCAAATGAAGCCGCTGACGTCACTTCTTCTTCTTCTGCTTTGGGTTTACTGGCAGGCCGCAAACAACTTCACAGCGTGTACTGCCGCCCAAAATCCCCGGCCGGAAGTCCCCGGAGTTGGGGACTGGCTTCAGTAGAAGCTGCTGGGACTCCCAGCAGCTTCTACTGAAGCCTTCCGAGTAAATCACCAGAACGCCGAAACCTCCTCATCTCCACCGCTGCCATTTTTTATTTTGTGTTGCCATAAGTTAGTCTCTCTGCGTTTCTGCGCTGGGCTAATGCTAATAATGCTAATGCGAGGATAATAAAATGGTGGCTTCAAACACTTTTTTTTGTTTTACGGGCCGTGGTCTCAGTTATATACAAACATGTCTGGCTCGAAATACCAAACAGATCATGCATTGCAGCATCCCATAAACCCCTCTGTTTCAGCCCTGTTTCAAAAGTTCTGATTCTCTGTCTGTTACTTTAGATGAAAATAAGGAGCCACTCCCCACGCCCTTCTGAGTGATATTTGGTTAAAAAGAACACAATGGTGCTCTAGGAGGAGATTCAGGTGATAAGGTGGGGGGGGGGTTACCTTGGTTGGTGATTGGCTAATGGTTACACAAGCCAAAAAATCGTTATGACATATGACATC